AGACTTAAACATGTTAATGTGTCTAATTCTCTCAACGTTTATTGCACTATCTGGACAGAGAATGTAATGGCTGCCAGTTTGCGTAGCCATTCAGGTTGTCATAACAAATAAGATGACATACATGAAAGAGTCTAAGATTCTAAGGTCAAGCCGAATGTTCTTATGCATTTATGAATGTTGAAAGAATAGAGGTATAAAGCTAAGAATCCAATGAAATATTGTTAGCTATAAAACGAGTGACCAATTTTGATCAGTCAGCAACTAGAAATAATGATTTAAAAGGTCCTTTTAATACACACTACAAGTTGCTGACCCCAAACCCTAGAGGTTAACATTTTGAAGTCTCATACTGAACAATTCTTATGCTTAGACTGTAGCTCGGGTTTCCAGATGTCTTCATTATGCCAGGGGAAAAAAATTGCCCAAGAATCCTGGCAGATCACTGGGCATTAAGTCATCTGGGAATTTATTAGTCTTATGAGTAGTAGTTCTTAAATAAAGATTTCTGGCAACCTCCCAGCTTCACAAAGCAACAGACTTGCTCTATAATTTAAGTCTCATGACCAGTGAAATCATGGTGAACAGGCACAGCTCGTGGTATGTGTTACTCCAAGGAGAAACAACGGCTGTCTGGGAAGCTAGCTAGCCAGTTTAGGACTTCTCTCCTGAGAAAAGAAGCCAGCTAGAAGAATATGGGCCGATCGTTATTTCACTAGTCATGAAACCACTGAGTTTACAAAGAACATTATTTTTAGCACTGTGACACCAGAGTGATTAGGCTTTCTCTCATAAAATCCCTGATGAATGGTTTTCAACATGCCTCATCTTCCTCCCTTGGGAAGACATCTTATCCTTATAAAAGACAAATGTCTCTTTCCCTGCCTCTGAAATTTGTGCAGCTCTTCTCTGAGTGAGTTTCTTAGATGCTGAGGTCTTCATCGCTTATTTTATTTTCTAGGGTGTAAAGGGGCTCATTAAGGCCATGTACCTGTGCCTTCAGAAAACTTTTTTTATAAGAATTTAATAAAATTCAACCTTGCATTACAAATAAGCCCTATCTGCAATCATTTTGGCTTTTTTTTATTTTAGACCAAGCTATAACACAAAGAGGGTGCTTCTTTTATCTATATTTAAAAATATTTTATCCCTAATGTACAACACTGCCACATACAGTTGTTAAACTAGGTAAGCAGTGTGCAGGTCACGTCTTTGACATTTTATCCATTGTAATGCTGAATTTCATCCTAGGACTTAAATCCAACAAAGCCCTTTGGTTTACCTTCTACTTGAGAAGCTAATCTAAGAAAATCACTGGAATCTAAGAGTTCAAGGCCAGGCTAGTAAACACAGCAAAACATTGCCTCAAAAAAAGTGTTTGTGGCTTATGAAATAAACAAATACATGACATACAAAACTAGAAAACTCCATACCACTCCTGTACACTACTAATGAACCTAACAAGAAAGAAATAAGGAAAACAATTCCATTTGCAATAGCTTTTAAAAAAAGAAAAGAAAAATACTTAGGCATCAATGTAAGTAAAGAGATAAAAGAAGTCTTCTACAGTGGAAAAAAATGAACTTACATCTTTTTCAATGTAATTTTCTACAGTGAAAATTGCAAAACACTGAAGAATGAAATTATAGAAGACATTAGAAAAACTGAAAGACATACTTCATTCATTGGTATGAAGAACTAATATTATGAGAAGATTAATGGCAAAAGCAATGCACAGGTTCAATTGAGTCCCTATTGAAATGCCACAACATCCTTCACAAAACTAGAAAAACAATACTGAATTACATATGGAATTAGGATGGCCAAAACAATCCTGAGCAAGAACAACAATGCTAGAAACATCACAATGCCCACCTTCAAGCTGCACTGCAAAACTACATTAATAAAAATGGCATGGTACTGGCATGAAAACAGAATAGAATAATCAGAAGACAGAAATTATCCCGTGTTCCTACAGCCATCTTCTATTTTAAAAAGGACCCAAAGCATATTTTGGAGAAAAGACATCTTTGACAAACAGTGCGATTTAACAAGCACTGAATATGTGCATAGACAGAACAGTAAAGCTAGACCCTCTCACCTGGTACTAAACTCAATTCAAAATGAATCAAAGCTCTAGATATAAAAGTAGAAACTTTGAAACTGCTAGAAGATGGCATAGATGAAACACTTGAAGCCATAGGCATCGGCAAAGACTTCCTGAATAGAAATCCAATAGCACAGGACATAATAGCAAGAATCAACAAATGGGATTGTGTCAGTAAAAATCTTCTGCACAGTAAAAATGAAATCAACAGAGTGAAGAAATAATTTACAGCATAAGTGAGAAAATTTGCAGGTTACTCTTTTGATAGAGGACTGAGGTCTGATACATAGACAGAACTAAAATACTTAACCTCTAAAAACAAAAGACCCAAGGAAAAAAATGGGCAAACATAGGAACAGACACTTCTCAAAAGGTATATAAGTGACCAATAAGTACATGAAAAAATGTTCAACATCTTTAGCAATTAAGAAAATTCAAATCAAAACAACTTTGAGCTTCCATCTTATTATTGTTTTATTGCAGTCATCAAGAACACAAAAACCAGGCTGGCCAAATAGCTCAGAGGATTAAAGCACCTACTTAGGAAGAAGCAGGGGTCAGGAGTTCAATCCCCAGGCCTGCCGTGCTGGTCCCGCCCCTGTGGCACACAGAGCCAGCAATGGAGACTGGGCGTGATGTGCGTGCCTGTAATCTCAGCACTTGGGAGGCTGTAAACAGGAGGATCATTACAAGTCTGATCTATGCAGTGAGTCTTTGTACAGCCTGTACACTCTGGCCTAAATACAAAAAATGAAAGAAAAAAAAACCCACAAAAATCAGTGAATACTGGTAAGGATGAGGGACTGAAGGGGAAACCCTCCCAAATTGTTGATAGCAGAATAAACTAGTACAATGGCCATCAATGTGGATTTTTTTTTTTTTCGGTTTGGATTTTAGTTTTATTTTTTCTCCCATAATTTTATTGAGAAACAAATAGCAATGAAACACTTTCAAACCAAATTGGTAGGACAGTTTCAATAATTAACACATTGCATACACTCTTCCTACTGGTTAATTGCTATACAAGATGAGGACATGATATCCTATTTACAAACACTACTAGAGCAAATCCCTCTATTTATTAAGAGAATGTAACTATATATCTATTCTAACTATTTTGAATACACAGATAAAAAATGGACATTCATCTGTATCCCTTTTTTTTTTTTTTTGTTTAGTTCCATTATTTGAATCTTATAGGTGTGTTAACTCAGCAAAATATTCTAAAAGAGTCCAGTAGTCCATAATAGTATTGAGTCTTCTGCTTCACTGGCAATGTCAGAAATTGTCCCCTACAGCTCAACATAACAGCATGGGTTTACTTCTTATACTTCGCTTTTATACTTTTCTGCTGGATGGTTAAGACCAAGATAAAGCAGGACCTATGCAACAAGAGTTGTAGCTTTTGCGTCTGATAAGGTCAGTGAAATCCCCTCAGGATTTATCCTGAGATCCTGTTCCTCAGATTGTCGAACCTTTGTCAGTGTCAGCCATGTGGATGAGTCATGGCCATTGCTTGGCCAATGTGCTCTCTGTGAAAGATC